CGGGTGTTGGCTTACTTTTGCCTTGTCTCTTCGGGAGGCTATGTGGGGGTCAGCACTATACCACAGCACGAATCGCTGAGGCTAGAGGGGTGGTACTGCATAACTTCGCCTCTCTAACACCGATCAAGTCTCCTTCTTTCGTCACAAACGAAGTGGCGGTTCCGATGGGTTGGAAGCGATACTAAGCTATATTTGTTGAACAACATGCAAAGGGCTCTGGGTGGTAAGCTCTTGGGGCCAGCGGTGCGCGGTCTGGAACGTCCTGGTCGCTTCTTTCTATGGTTATGTAGCCTTACTGCTCGCAATGGTTGATGGACCCTCGAGTAAGTGGGCCAGCGATCATCTCGAGCGGATACATTCCACCGTCATACGAAGGCGAAACAATTGATTATGGCGTGGCGAGTGATTACTACGACGCTTGTCGTCCCTACAGGGCAGGCCCGCAATACAGTCCTGGGAGATGTACGTCCGGTCAGACTATGGATCAAATCACCGAAGTACACTTCCAAGGTTCTGTACGATGGGAGGCCACATGCTGCGATGAGTATTTTTCCCCATTCGATGAATAATGAGGATCATTCCGTCTGACAACTACATCCAGGGGTATGTCGATTTCTCAGCCTTGGAATAACTGTCGGAGGGTGATAAACTCTCCTATGCAAGTCCTCACGTACTTTACAACTACGTTGAGCGAAGTCGGACTCTGTACCACGAATCTGACGATATCTGCATATGATACCACAACGTCACACTGTTCCGCGCGGACTATCTTGCGACAACCGCGGAGTGAGGTATTATCTGGTATAGCCTGGGCAGTGCCAGCAACGATATGGTGGCAGTCTAGCGATCTGTCTAGCTTTCCGAGCGATTACGCATCGTCGCTAGCATTAGTAATGAAAGTCGAGTTTGGGGATCCAAACATCACCCCATCGAACAATACGAATTCGACACCCGCTCCTTCATCTAGCGACTCCAACCACAAAAGTCCCAGTCTGAACCCCGGAGCTATAGCTGGAATAGCTATCGGGATAGGCATATTCGTCATATCTAGCATCGTCATTCTCCTGTATCTTTGGCGAAGACGAAAGCAACGCCAACGTCTAGAGTACCCAGATGTTTCAGAAATGGAAGGAAGTTCAAAAGGGATGAAGCAGTTCATGGGTGGGAAATGGCGAGCTGAGACAGACGGTACCTCAAACCCAGTAGAAGCAGGTTCAGGGAGTGTGATGATTATTCCGGGGCCACCCGTGGAATTGGACGGTACGCAGAGGGAACAGGATCAATGACGCATACCTAGGTGTGGAGAGGAGGGGACGCAGCAATTCGCTGTGCAGATTGAAATATTGGAAACGAACGCGAGAGAGCTCTCGTGACTATATTGCGCGAGAGAGAGTTGATAGACCGCTAACGCGACATTTGACTATTGAGATCATGTGCCTGCCTTTCAGACTGGGGCCATCGTGAGAACCAAGAGGATGCCGCATAGCCAAACCGCACTTTCGCTTTTTCAAACCAACAGTTATCAACCACCATTCTTCCCCAATACAGTAGTAATTAGCTAGAGTAAAAGAAAGGCTCTCTAAACGTCTGGGTGAATGTTGAGAGTGACAGGCTTGATGTGGGTGATGTGTAGGTACCTTGATTTGGCAAAAAGCATGGAATCACATTTCTGTTCAATTGGAATGGTTCTAATACATTCCTACATTGTACATAACATGTAGAATAGCAAAAAGAAACTGTTTCCGACACCGGGAATCGAACCCGGGCCTTGCCGGCACTGCGCTGCTGTGAGGCTGCGAGCTTACTCTGCGATGAGAGCGGCAAATCCTAGCCACTAGACCATATCGGAGGTTGATGTAGAAGAGGGCAAATCAAAACAATATGTAGAGAATTTTTGGCATCCGGTGTGGTTGAGAGAAGTTTGGAAACATACGAGTCAGGAAATCGGGCAGGGAAAAGTTGGACCAAGATTGACTAGATCAAATCAAGCCTATGTATTACAGACCCACAAAGACTCGAGGCTAGACTATCAGCACTTGTAATGTATTCCATTGGACGACCTAGGTGCGTACTACGTTGTATGTGGTTTGCGAAGCCACTGTTGACGCATGGCTGAGGAGGTCCTCAAGACATTTTCGGATTACGCAGGATATTTGGTACCCTACTGAAGTACACCAGGCATCTCTATTGTATTCTGATCGTAGTATGAACAGCTTGTGAAGACCTCCTGGCTTGAGAGCTTGTACCACAGTTCACGTACTATGTCATTCGACCAACAGCTTCGACTGCATATTCGCCCACCAAACGTAAACAGTTCACCCGAAAATGGACATATTCACCTGCGCCGAGAACTAGCTCCTATGAATTAGCCTCGAAGTTGGATCAATCAAAATAGTTCTCCGATGATGTGATGACTCCCGACATCGCCGCGTCCCGCCCCGCGAAACAAAAAGTTCCCCGCGAACACCAACTTCGACTGGACATAGCGGTCCTCCATTCCAACTCCCAATCTCTCTCATCCACCAACCACACCCACAATGGTCGCAAAGAACACGGCATTCGATCTGCAGAAATGCGCGCGATCCAACATTCTCGCTTTGGAGCCGTACCGATGCGCGCGCGAGTAGGTGAATATCCATGACTCTTACCGCGGTACCCAGCTCACGACGCGTAGCGACTACAAAGATGACGGCACCAACATCCTCCTCGACGCAAACGAGAACGCATATGGACCAGGGCTACAATTGAATGGCGAGGGCAAGCTGCCTGGCGCAAATGTCAATGGCACGTCCGACTCATCTTCTGCGATTGATGTCGATCTGCTTGGCCTGAACCGATACCCAGATCCGTATGCACACCGCGACCTCTTGCATTGCGCGTGCTGACGACCTGCTATAGCCACCAAGAAGAACTCAAGCAGCTCCTCTGCAACCTCCGAAATACCCACACCCACACCTCCAAGAACATAACACCCGCCAACCTCTTCGTTGGTGTCGGCTCAGACGAAGCGATCGATGCCCTCATCCGCGCTTTCTGCGTCCCCGGCAAGGAGAAGATCTTGACATGTCCACCCACATACGGCATGTACAGCGTTTCCGCGCAAGTCAACGACGTCGCGCTGGCCAAGATCCCCCTACAAACACCAAGCTTCGATCTCGACGTTCCCGCGATACTGAAGGCCATGGATGAGGACAAGAGGATAAAGTTGGCGTATCTGTGTTCGCCAGGCAACCCAACTGGAAAGCTACTCAAGAAGGAGGACATACAAAAGGTACTAGAACACCCATGGAACGGTGTCGTAGTAGTGGACGAGGCATACATCGACTTCGCGCCTGATGGAACAAGTCTGGCAGAGTGGGTAGCTGAATGGCCCAACCTCGTCGTCATGCAAACACTTTCAAAAGCCTTTGGTCTCGCAGGCATTCGTCTAGGTGCTGCCTTCGCAGACCCAGCGATCGCGCAGATTCTCAACAACATGAAGGCACCCTACAACATCCCCAACCCAACGAGCCAGATCGCGCGCGCCGCCCTGAGCCCGAAGCATCTGCAAGTCATGCAAAGTCACAAGGACCTCATCGTCAAGCAGCGTGATAGGCTGATCGAAGAGCTACCCAAGATCCCGGGCATTGGAAAGCTCCACGGCGGTGTGGAGTCGAACTTCCTGCTCTACCAGATACTCGATGCGCCGGCGGATCAAGGTGGCAAGCCATCGAATGAGACGGCGCTGGCGGTGTATGAGGGTTTGGCGGAAGAGAAGGGCGTGGTAGTGCGGTTCAGAGGCAAGGAGCACGGTTGTCTGGGCTGCTTGAGGATAACGGTGGGTACGGAGAAGGAGGTTGATCGATTCTTGCAGGAGATCAAGCAGGTGATTGAGGGTATTCACAAGAGCTCGGGCAAGCTGGGGAAGAAGGAGGAGCAAAGGAGGGAGAAGGAGGCTAATGATGTGGTTGCATAGAGGAGTGTGCGGAAGAGATGGCATGACAAAACTATCACGCAAACCAAAATATAACGTCAACGACCAACCTGACCTAAAACTAGGTCCCAGTCTGATCCAAAGGCGCGTTCTATTCTTCATCAGGTGTAATTTCATGCCGCTTCTGATCCTTGGCACTTAGTGTACTGGAGGTGAGAGGTGAAGGTGAAGTCTGAGCGTTTGCTCTCTCGCGTTCCTTCCGCTTTGGGACAATTCCATCTTGGTCTCAGTCTCTCGCTTCTTCTTGACTCTCCTTCCTTCTCTAGAGTCGCGCAAGTCTTGTTCGTCGACTTCTTTGTGTACTATATTCAAGCACAGCGTTGCTCCTTCGGATCGCCCAGAATGGCAGCACAAATCACGTCAGCGAAGCAGGAAGCAGAGCTTCTTAACTTGCGCGCCGAAGGTCAAGCGCTACAGAGAACATTGGCGGTATCATCTCCTCACCCGCTACCATTGGTGCTTGATAACTAACAGGCCCGCGCTGCTAGACTGTGACGTCCGAGTACGGTCTGTACTTGAAGAAGTACAACGATGCGAGCGAGCGCATTCAGGTGGAATCGAAAATTGCTTCAGCAGCTAGCGTAGTTACTGTGGCCAACATCGACGCCCCAAGCGACGGTGCCATCGTGCTGGTTCTCATTGATGGCACAAGCCACAAGGTATTGCGTCACGTCGAAATCTGATACCACAATCTAACATTCTTGCAGCTTCACGCCGAGTTGTATCGCAACAGGCCAGCTGGTGGCGCGGAGACTGCAAGGCGTCTTCGCGATGTTGTGCGCCAGCGGGTCGCAGTTATGCTGCCTGCCGTCGCACGAAACAAGTACCACGTCGTGATCAAGGTCTTCGCATGTCTCAAGTCACTATCAAGCCGTGCCGCCGCAGACAACCTTGCGAATCCAGGCCCTAGGTCGCTTGCCACTCACTTTGCTGATTTCACCAGAGTCGACCCTCTCATTGACTTTGTGGACGCGGGCGATACTGGTCATGTGTCGATCAAGATCGTCGGTAAGATCATACTCTCACGATGGCTGTTCAATACTGACGTGCCTGCTTTCAGAAAACCTCAAGCTTTATATGGCGAACCGTGCAAGCATATTTTCTTCGGCGCAGCGGGATCACCAAAGTATCATAGCGAATTAGAGCTGTATACCGGACAGAAGCATAGGATCACGCTGATTACCGGCTCAATTGCTGACGAGATTATTCGAACTCTCGGTTTCCCTTCGATATCCTTTCACAAAGTCTTCAAAGCAGGCCCGGTGAGCTTGAGTAGTGCTACCACTACGACCAAGCCCGCTTCCAGCGAGTCTTCTTGGAGACAGATCACACCTCCGGTAAGTCACACAACATAGAGAGATATAGTTTACTGACACCAATTACAGGGTCCAAGTACGTATGCTGCTGCCGTATCAGCCACGAGCCGCCCCGATGTCAACTCGGTCAGTCAACCACCGGTCGCGCTTCCTCTTACGTCACCTCTACCAACGCAAGGTCGCAACGGCCGTGTCCCCATCAACCTGGCGAAGCAGCGGCTCGACCTCCAGATACGCCTCCCTACACCTGGAGAACTGCAGGCATACAAGAACCGCAAGGATATCCACGGCCTTTGTATTGACTTCCACTTACGTGGACATTGCATCACGGAGGATTGCAAGCTACTGCACGGTACGTCTTTGGCTTGGGAAGTCTACTGTGTTCTACAGTACAGAGCACTCGGTATGCCATGTCCCAAGGGAAGCGGATGCCGCAGTCTGAACTGCGTCAACGCGCATGTCTGTCAGAAGGAGGAGTGCATCCAAGCGGGCGAGAGGGCCAACCTATGTGGGTTGACTAATGCTATGCACAGGGTGGATCTGTACGTCGCCGAATGGGTTGTAGCAGATGATGTCGTGGTGCAGAGTAGCACACCGGTCAAGGGCAACGTGGTTCCTGTCGCTGAAGCTCAGGTCAACAGTGGTGGTGCAGCATCGTTCATAGAGGATCTCATCTCGCTATGAGATACCTAGGTATCTGTGTGGGCGCTACCTGGTAAAGGACCTTGTGGGATTCACGCACTGTGCACCTTAGTGCAATCTTTCAGGCTCCTTCAGCATCTGCTGCTGGAACCTACTCAGGTGGTGGCGTTGCTTTCTCTCTTGGAGTGAACATCTCTCTATGTAGGTGAGTCTGTCCCTCCCCTACACGCACACTGTATACGTGTGGATTATGAGGCGAGCAGCAAGCTCATAGATGATCAACCCATTATACCGAGAAGTCGTAAACGTCATTCATGATAGTTTCAGATATATGATGCATGTACGTGAAGTCTAAACCGTGAAGATCTAGGCACATGGATGTGCAGCTGACCGACACGGCGAAACTCTTCAAAGAGTGCCTCCTTCACCAATCTAATCGTTTATGTTTTTTTTTTCAAGACGGTACCGTAGATGAACGCAAGTTCGTTATGGTAAAGACGCGATGCGTTTTGATTCGTCAGAGCTATGCCATGTTGCGCGCGTTTGGTGACAAGCAGCGGGATCTGGAGCACGTAACAGTCAAATTACGAATCGGTGTAGGAGACAGATATCTGAGAAGCATATCGTATATTACAGCAAGTCAGTGTAATTGTCGTTGCATGGCCACGTCGGAAGTGACGATGCAAGGTACCACGACGCTGACTAAACCAGCAACGGTGACGCTTGCTATCTGACATGAGCCCCACCAATGTTCCGATCGGACCTCCATCATCCCGACCAGAAAGTGCTCGAAGTACCGCGCTTAACACTCCCTCTCCCCCGAATAATCACTTCCTGACCTCTATACTCCAATTCCAAACTACATCGACCCTACAGATACAACAAACACCATGGGCCGACCAGACAAACCCCGCGACCCCATCGCCGGTCCCGAAACACCACAACCACCCTTCCCAATAAAGCTCCGAGGTCCCGTAGTAAAAGGCTTCGGACGCGGAAGCAAAGAGGTACAGAGCCCCCAGCCCACCCGAACATCACCCCAAGCTAACAATACCAGCTAGGTATCCCCACCGCCAACATCCCGCTCTCCGGCCTGAGCATAGGCGGCCACGACGAGCTCGAATCCGGCATCTACTACGGCTGGTGCACCCTCGACACAACCACAATACCAACCTCCACAACCGCCTCCAGTGTCCCCAGCGCCACAGACGATACATCTATCCCTTCCCAATCCTCATCCCACGCCGTCCTCGACCTCGAATACTCCTCAGAAACGCCCACACCTTCCACCATTTACCCCACCGTCCTCTCCATCGGCTACAACCCGTACTACAAAAACAGCCAACGCAGTATCGAAATCCACATCTTACACAGCTTCGAGAAGGACTTTTATGGCGCGCAGCTCAGCCTCATGATATTGGGTTTCATACGGCCGGAGTACGATTATGTGAGTAAGGAAGCGTTGGTGGAGGATATCAGGGAGGACATTAGGGTTGCGCAGAGGAGTTTGGGGAGGGAGGGGTATGAGGTTTGGAAGAGCGATGAGTGGTTGAAAGGTGGGGATGATGTCAAAGTGAACTGGAATCAGGAGGGGCAGAAGGATGGGGTGGGGATTGCGCAGATGATTAATTAGGGGTGAGGAGGACGATGGGGAGAGGAGAAGGTCTCACGATGCGCATAACGAGGGATGTTATGAATGGAACGAAACATTATCATCATACTGTTGTTCTAGCCGTGGAAAGCATTGGTATCGCGCCTTTGGTGGCAGCTCGTCTACTCCGTTTACGCCTTAATGTACGCCCTCGAACACCTGAAACAAATAACAAGAAGTAGCATACCAAGCACTACCTTCCATGATGCGCACGTCTCGTGAGACGACTCTGGTATCCATGCATATGCGCCAATATTCCCAGCAAACCAGAACCATAAAAGCACTTTTTTACTGCCGCCATGACATGATCGTAGAAACTCGAAGTCCATCATCCGTATCCAGGCAATCCGTCGTTGGAAATGCAACAAGAGCTGCGTTCTTGTTCATACTTGTCCCGCTCACTGCAGGCCTTTGTCAAGAACAGGCATGACCTAAAGCTCATTAGCACTTGACCCATACATAACTTCAAGGTTGAACTTACACTCATACAAACAAGCACAGGCATATCAAACATATCGCGCTTGATGTGCCACCAGATCATACAATCGACCATACCATTCTTCGCGCCAAGCCGTTGCATGGCACTCTCGCCCTCCACCTTGACAAGCGGATCGACCTTGACATCAGCACCGGCATTCGCATTCTTCATTTCCTGGATGCGATCCATGTCTGCTTTGGTCTGGTATCTCAGCATGTTGACGCGTTGAGAAGCGTAGCCATGGGGGTCCTGGTAGCACAGTTCGGAGAAGTGCTGCAGGAACTCGAGGGCGGATTTGGGATCCATGAGCTCGATGATGTTGACGCTTGGTGTGGTCTCGGAGTCTTGCGCCGTGAGGTTGGGTGTGGTGTTTTGGGTTGAGCCCGTGTCGCTTTCGCTTGTGTCGCGGTTCGTGCCCGTGTTGACGTTGAGATTGGGCTCGTGGCCGAGGAGAACTTGGTCTTTCCAGCCCGTGAGAATGGTAAACTCCTTGTTGATGCCGACAATCTCGCCTGAGCGACGACATATCAAGAAGGGTGTACCGACTTCTGCAAAGTGATCTTGCAGTGTCATCACCTGACGCTGGAGACCCATTTCTTGATGGATCAAGTCGTCTCTGTTCAACTCTTCCCGCACTTGTAGCAATACAGGTCGGTAGTTTTGAAGATACTGTTGTGCCTTAGCGACCCAAGGCCTCGAGTAGTTCTTGTCGATCAGCTGATAAAGCCTGTGATAGCCCTTGACGTAATCGTATGGCTTGGTAACCCCTTGGTATATGCTCTTGGTGTCCCGTTGTCGCTTGCGCACGCCATTAGAGTGTATCGGCTGGAGTGCCGTTGTCGAAGGTCTGTTTTCGTGTTGTGATCGACTAACAGCCGGGGAACGCTGCGCATGCGGTCGGTTTGTGTTGGCGAAGAACGCTGCAGTCGCCAGTGGGTTGTCACCCTCGAAAGTAGACGCATCCGTAGAAGCTGGGCTTGCTGTGTGGCTCGCAGGCCCTTGACCTATAACGAATGCGTGGGGACCACTGAGGCTGTCGTTTCGAAGGCTGTGGTGATCGTAGCCAGCGGTGTTTGGCGTGTGAACGTGCATGCTCCCTTGCCGCGAATGTGCGTCTTGCCACTCGCCTGCTGGGAGTCCGTTCGCATTGTATGCCATGGCGGTTGCCGCGTTGTTCTGGTCCGCGTAAGTTGAGGGCATCTGTGCATTGTACATGTTCACAGCGCCGTTCGTGTTCATCATCGCGTTATCGTGAGGTGTGTCCACTGCGCCTGATGACATATGACCAAGCATGCCAAATTCCAGGGCTCCGTAATGGTTTCCGAAATTGAGGCTCGAGATGTCGAAATTGAATAGTGCGGGGTCACTCGGGTCGAATAAAGGTCCAAACTGCTGCAATTGGCCCTGCTGATTCTGAGACATAGGGTTTGGTGCGTTTTGTACTGGGCCGTGATGTGTCTGGTTGAACGGAGGTGATATTGGCGACTGCTGGTTGCTGAAAGCGTGACCGTCTTGAGCCACAGGCATTTGTCCTGGTATCGAATTGGGCGGGTAGAATGCCGCGGGCTGGGCTTGATTGTACATATTGCTCTGTGGAGAGACCGAGACTGGTTGTGTGTCATGACTCGGTATTGGTGTAGGGCGGTTGCCGTTCATGTACGGATAGTGACCGCCCACACCAGGCATGAGCGCTCCATCCGGCGCATCGTGGAGATACTTGGCCTTTTTGCGCACGCCGTCCATGCAGTGATCTTGGAGGCCGCGCTTGATGCAGCGATTGCATGGTCTCTCGTCGCCTAGAAGATGTCAGTCTCACCAATTCATGCAATAACTCACAATCAACACTCACCACATGTCAGATGGGCTCGCTGGCAGGCAAAGCACGCTCTCCGCGCCTTCTTCCTCCGCGGTCTTAGAGGGTCTTTTGCATTGGGCTTTCCATTGCTAGGCTTCTGGCTGGAATCGCCATCGCCAGACTGGCGGTCTGTAGTCTGTTCAGCAGCCATGTCGTCGTCCAGGTCGCTCCTGTACTCGGGCGAAGGAGACGCATCTTGGGCGTCTGGGGTGGTCATGATATCCCCTCTACTGGCGCAGGCACTCGGCCAAGCACGGACGGTCGCTGCGGTGGACGGAGGCGCTGGGGAGAGAGCCTAGTGCTGCGTGTAGCCGTCAATGGTGATCTTGGGGTGTTCCCAGCAAAACGGTTCAGCCAATGTGTCTGGGGTGCACGGCTTGAGGCGTTCCAGCTGCGTGTTTTAGAGTGCGATCACGCGTGCGCTGGCTGCTTGAACGGGCGCTGCCGTGGCACTCTGACAGGTCCAATGACGAGCTATGCAGGGGACCCAGAGAGTGAAGGGCTCTCAATCCGGCGGACAGGTATGGGACAGAGCTATTGTGGTACGGGGCCGGGGTCCATGTAATCGAGGGAGCATTCCAGGAGCACACAGAACCATGTTTGATAGCGAGATGCTACCGAGACGCGCTGCCCATGCTGCTGGGAGTCGAGTGTGGTTCTACAAGCGGTGCCGGGGTTCGTTCAGTGAGCCCGCGGGAGGTGAGAGCAGCAGCGTGGCAGTCACGGGTGCGGCGTCGCGTCGAGCGCGGAAGGCGCGACACGATAGGGCAGTGGGGTGATACAGCGCGTGCAGTCACGGTCAGCGCTGGGGCAGGTGCGATGGGCGATAGCGATGTCGATGGCGATGGGCGACGGGAGATGATCGTCTGGGGAGGCCGGCTACGAGTCGCGACGGAGCGCGCGGTCGAGGCGATGGAGGCGCTGCTGGGCTTGACGAGCGGCCAGGGCACTTGCAGCGCTGTGTGCAGTTGAGAGTGGGCTCGCGGCGTCGGGCGCTGGTCGTGTGCGGTATATTGGAGCTCGCTGCAAGATGCGCGCAGATGCGATTCCCCGCAATTGGCTGTTCGAGGTTTGCTGGAAGGTGCAGCCCACGCAGCTGCCTCGGTCCCTGTCGACCGGTAAGCCGCTTGCTTGGCCGGCCGCTAGCCCGCAGTCACGCACTTCTGCTTCACTATTTGACGTCGCTAGCACTTCAGCCACTCTGGGGCTGCTGTCTGCCACATGATCGTCGTCAATACATAGGTGGATCGCGGTCAGTCCATCTTTGCAGATTGGGCACCCTGCTGCAGACGGCCCTGCCCAGTCACTCGCAATTCCCACCGCGACACCTCATGCCACACAGCGCATCCCCAAAAAGCAAGCAGTCGGCATGCCCAAAGTGCCTCAAACTCGGCTATGAGGCATGCATGCAGTGTGGGATGCGAGGCCTTGGCGTTGGTCCTGACTGGCGTATCCCCAGCCTATGGGCGCGCTCGTATCACCAACTATCATCACTCGCTACGCTTCGCGAGCGCTGTGTGCCCTCACTGTCTCCCTCACCGTGTCTCTGGCCTGCCGACCACGTTTCCTCGCACGCCGGTGCACCGCCCCCGGCAACGGTACCATCCGCAGCCGCTTTCGTCTCTTGTGCATCCGTTGTCCCTCGAGCTGGCGTGGCCGCCCTCGTGGCGCTCATGTTCCGTCGCACAAGGGCCCGGCCAGCCTGCTTCATGTGGTCTCACGTGTGGGCGCAAATTCCTTGATTCAATAAAATTCTTTGGCATCAAACTGCCGTGTCACTCGCTATTATTAGTCCTCTTCCAGTCAAGTCTGCCACATGCCCTCGCGTCGCTTCCATGCCCACTATGCTGATGCATATCGACTGCCTCCCCTGAGCCGCTTGCCATATCGAAAGAACAAGATTGGAAATCTGCAACAATATACGTTAGTGGTTCCCACGACCATTCTCTTGGGTCTCTTACGGTGCCATGGCCAGCGCAAGGAACGCAAGTAGAGTAGTTGCCCACTGGTAGCCGAGATCTTTTCCAAATCAGTGACCGCTCTTTCATCATGGTGTGCCGTCCTTGGGACTTACTGTTGTACATCTGAACACCAAATAGTCTATGTCGTTAATTAGTAATGAAGTCTGCCCCAACGTTGGTGCTAGCTTACGGGAAAGCCGCAGCAAAGTACGACCGCGCGAAGCTGTTGGCCGCGAGAGCCGATGCAGCGTAGACAGGGTACTGTTCGGCGAGGTCACTATCTCTGTACCCAAGAGCCTGGTCCGACTTCGGTCCGTGGTGGGACTTACAGCTTCCACCAAGAATGTAAAGACCCCTGAATAGACCCAGATGACACTACGTCACGGAATACGGTCAGTGAGCTGTTCATCGACGACACCTGAAGCGTCTAAAAGAAGAAAACCTACCCAAGGCCAAATACTGCTGAAAAGATAATTGGAACTGCAGTGTCATGGTCAGTTATTATTGCGACTGGACAATATGCACGATGATGTCGTACCTATCCAGTGAACCTGCGGAAGCCGGGATGTTAGCCATGGAATCTTCCATGCCAGTGAAAATCTAAACTTACTGAGCAGTATGTCGTCCACCCAAACCCTGCATACGTGTGATTAGAAGCTTGTTCGAGGCGACCATGCAGCGGCTTACC